AAGTATTGTAAATACTTTCAGTATTTTTAAAGTTTTGCACACTATATATAACCTATTTTTTAAAGACCTTTTCCATCCACAAGTTTCTCACAAGTGTTTTCTGGAACGTTTTCCAATTTTGCCTGTTAATTCAATTCAATAAGTTTCTTCATATATAGCGCCAATTTAAAACACATGTCATCTCAAGGCACTTTGCAGTTCACCAGATCATACAGTCAAATTGATTCAGTTTTCTATCCAAGGAAATCCTATTTATTGCATCAACTCATTGACTCTAAGGCAATCCCTCACACTAAGGATACTTGTAGTGACAGTGGAGCGGAAAAACTCCCTTTTAACGGGGAGAAACCTTCAGTACAACCAGGTTTAGCGTGAGCGGCCATCTGCAGAGGCCGACTGGGGTCCAAGGAGACAGAAGAGGACATACAGAAAGAAATAGAGATACAACTGTTAACAGGCTCCACAGGCGGCTGCGTCCCGGAAACACACAGCTAGGCAGAACTGAGAAACAGAACAGTTGCTCTCATGCTACTGTATGTTTATAGTATGCCTGGTTTACATACATCTGTGTCTGAACATCCGCCCTAAGCCCTATATAGAGAGGTATATAGTGGTTACGCCATTTTAATTGAGTGTTCGAATGTCTAGCGGATGAAAAAGTAGTGGACTTAAAAATTTCCCACATGCACCTTGAAAAGTAGTGTGCAACCATTGTCACTAAACAAACAGATATGTCCCAGAATGTTTTGTGAGAGATCTCCTCATCATGGGATTTGTTTTGGGTGTGAGAGAAAACAAAGATGCTGCAGACTTCCTGTGGGGTACCGGATTCACTTGATCAATGGGGAGTGAAAAGTAGTGATCATTTGTCTGAACGGTCAGTTGAGTTCACTATAAAGTCCACTATTTAGTCCCAGCTCTATATAGTGATTTACAGGGTAGGCACAGACACAGCCCATGTCTCCTCTGCCTACAAATATTGTATGAAACTGAGTTCAGAGCTATGTGATACCAACTACATTATATCTTATTTCATGGTATGTATCTATTTTGAGAAGTGAATCAGATATCATGATGCTGCCATGTCTGATCTTCAAAGCTAAGAAGATTTCTCAAAGAACCACACAGGAATCTGACTTTTTCTGTTAAAATGTGTGTGGATGTTGGGCAACAATGGAAGTTTGGCAGGCTTTGTTTGATTGATTTTCTGGTGACTTGCATAATAGTTAAAATGCTAAAGAAGCACCAATTCTTACTGACGGCACTGCAGGGGGTTTCCTATTTGTTTGAAACATGGTCAAAACAAGGGACGTAAATGAAGTAAATCCAGCTGGCCATTTCTGGTTCAAACATCAACAGAGGTTTTAAAATGAGAAACTCTGATTTGTAGCTGATGACACCTTTAAATCCAGTTCACCTGATCATATTATTTCTACATGACAATCAAAAAACAATACCATGACATCCTACTGTACATTAGGCTTTGTTGAATGTTTTAAAGGCATACTTAGCTCATTGTTTTGAAACTCATGAATTTGAACTTATTACTTTTTGGATATAGTAAATAAAGTTAGCTTTTTTAATCCTAATTGACCAAAAAGGAGATATTTCTGTTTTATATAATATAAGACACAAAGAAAAATGATAATTCTGTGTCTTCATATACAATATATGTCCAGTTAATGTCTTGTTTTAACAGTATCTGTGTCTTTGTGTCCCTTGAAAACCTAAAAACACAACTCAGCTGTTGCAGAAAATTTACTCTGTAACTTTGGTTAGTAGAATAATAAATGTGTGAGAATGAGTGCAACAACCAGTTTATTTAATGGAATCCCAAACAAACAAACATCACTGGTTCATTGTAAATGTGTAAGTTGGTCTCCCACTTTTAATAAGCTGCACCACCACTCTCATTATAGAAACCCATTAAAATTCTATAAAACATTACTACACGTGGTGTAATGGCATGTAGAATTAAAAACTCAGATGTTTTTTTTCCTCCTTTGTGATCATGACTCACTTTGTATTCTCAGCACACTTTGTTGCCATTGAAATTAGCTCTTTTGTAATTGATTACCACAATAAAAACATACATAATGCTAATGCACATTAATCTCCTTTGGTGCTACATGTAGTGCGCCTACATTCAAAATACTTTATCGTCCTCCTTGTCCCATGGTTTAAAAATTAAGACCAGCTTCATCTCGTGAATGCCCAGTGAAAAATGTACTTGTGACATGTACATGTGAGAAAGGAAGCGAGTGCAAATAGGAGCAAAGGGAAGACTTGACAGTCCTCATGGTAAATGGGAAAATAGTGATGCTCACTTCTGGATATTTAATCACCTGTTCTAATGACCGGAAGAAAAGTGCAACTTGTATACCGCATGGCTAGTATTGATGGCAGGAGTGAAAGCTGCAAAAGCGTGAGCAAAGATGGTTGCTATTATTCCTGTCTGAGAGTCATCTATCAGAAATGATACCCAGAAAAATAATTGAATTCACCTTTTCAGCAGCTTGTACTCTGGACAAAATAGATGGCATTTTGTATAATGATCAGCTGCAGAAATTGTGGGGATGTTTCAGCTTTTGTTCATTAATGAAGGAAATGTATGTGTGCAGGTCAGCAGGAGGGATTCGTTTCATTGAGAAGTATAGTTTTAATCTATTCTATTCTAGATTAAGATCAAGTATTGCCTCCACAAGGGTCATGTATTTTATTTAGCAAGTTTAACATTGTAAACCAGTTTGGTTAAATTTGGTTATTCTAATTCAGATTCCAAAATAAAATCCAATCCTTCATTTATTCTTTGGTTTCTATCATTGCATGAGCTGTGTGGTTCTCCACATATTTTTACTTTTAATTTTAGATTCTCTAGAATTAGAGTGTGTTTGATTCATTATAATTTTTATATTGGTTTAGGTACTGCAACCCTATGTCATGCTGAAGAAATGTGTTAAAGCAATAAAGTGGACTGGATTACCTCCATACAGTACGCATGTGGACAAGATTTTAGGTATCCCTCATTTAATGAAAGAAAAACCTACAATGGTCAAAATAAATAACTTTTTTGTAAAGAATAATAAACATCAAATCTATGTGAATGAACAAATGATAGATATAAATTGCTTTTCAATCATATTTAAATAGAATGATTTTTAAAAACAGGCCTGGGCAAAAAATGATGGTACCCTTATAAAAGAAAATAATGTGACCAGAGGGGTATGTGTAAATCAAGGTGTGTACACTAATTAGCATCACAGGGGTTAAGAAGCTTGAAATTAGTTATTAAACAAGTGTTTAGGTCCCCTTAACTTTAAACAGAGCAAGCTTGAGTGTAGGATCAGTATAGTGAGTGTATTGTTTGCAGTCTGTTGGTCTGTGAAGGCCTAAGATGTTTATTGGTGAGAATGTGTTAACCAGCAACCCCATCAAGACCAAGGAGCATACCTGACTGGTCAGGGTTAAAGTTGTGTGGAGGTTTAAATCCAGGTTGGATTCTAGAAAATATCCCAGGCTTGACACATCTCATAAGGCAATGCCTAATTAATTATCAGAAACTAAAAAAATGCCATATCGTTCTACAGCAGCCTGTTAAGATAGTATTCTGGCTAGTAGTTTGCCAGAAAATCTTTAGAGTTATGGTCTTGTTTTTCAGACAATGTCTTGTTTTCCTTTTTTTTCCTCCACAAATGCATGCTAAGACCTTCACACACTTCTTCTCAGTCAGTTTAACATATGCATGTATTGTCTACCAAGGGTGGCCTGCATGCAAAGGTATTACTTTGCATGAGCTTCAAGTTTAAAATCATACAATGCAAAGATTTGCATGTTTTTAGATAAGATGCATGTTAATCACACAGGTCCAGCCGTTGCTTGGTATGAAACATTTGCAAGACAATAAGAGAAATTTGATTTGAAGTCTTGAAGTAATAGGACCTAAAAGAATGTTGTTCTCATTAAGGTTTCATTCTGTATGAATGACTCTAAGTTATTTCTGCATTATAATGATATAGGTGGACAAAATATGACTGTAGCCACTCTTGGTCTGTGAAATACCTATGTTATATAGTATGAATTTGTGGCTCGTTTGATTTCTAATTGAGTTTTCATATATTCAACACAGATTTGATATTTTGTAAGGCAAAATAAATTGCATAACAAAAGCATTCAGCTTATGAAACAATACTATAAAAAAAATAAAATAAAAACATCAGTTCGGTCCCACCAGACACTGAGATGTGTGCTGGCTTAATGAGATAAAGTTTTCTTCTCTAGTTTGAAAGGTCCCAAGCATGATGAGTTTTATATATTTTTGGTAGTTTATATTTTTTGTTGTTTGGTTTGCCAGTGTGTGCACTTTGGCTGCATCAGCAACATGGAATCAACAGTTTAGTCCCAAAAACTACAGTCCAAGAGGAAATAGAAAATGATAAGTGACTGGAGCAACAGAGAGGAGTATTAACAGAGTGATCTGAACAAGAGCAATATACTGAGAGATAGTTAAACTAGGGAGTTGATCACTGAACAATGAGCAAGTGGTAGGTTAAAAAACTGGGAGCAGCTGTGTGGAGATTGGGGTGGGGTGTTACTGAACTAGAAATGGCTGAACCAATGGCTGAAAATGACAGCAAAATATAAATACCAAAATAAAGAAAGATTTATTAGTAAGTAAAAAAAATCATTCTTAGATACAGGTTTTTCAAAGAATGGTATTCTGCTGTAAAATATAGTTTTTCTTTACATTTTTACTCATCTTAAGTACAGAAGACATTGTCATAGTTAAATATAACGCAAAACAATATTTTGTTTTGCACGCAATCAAGGCAAACATCTCTATTCTATATTGTGAAAGGATTTTAGTAGGATAGTTTTTTCCAATAAAAAAAATTAAAATAGACTTTAAGGATTTGTTTTCAATAATAAGGGCACTGCAAATATCCGTGTGTGTTAGTGAAATGGAAAACAAACCAACTTCAGTGTCTTTATTCATCCCACAGGTACCTCATGATGAGTGGGCTGGTTATCCCAGCGGTGGGAAGGATGATGAGATCCCTTGTCGTCGAATGCGGAGTAGCAGCTATGTTAAAGCTATGGGGGATGAGGAGAGTGGGGAATCAGACTCCAGCCCAAAGACATCACCTCAGAAGTCGGTGCGTCCGGATGCCCTTATCAAGGCCATCATCAGACCCAAAGACTTGCTGGATTCTCAGAGGTATGGTACGAAATTTGTTTAAGCTATTTGTATTTTTACTTTCTTTTCTTTTTGCACGCTCTTTTTTATGTGCCATGTATGTCGTGTATGTATATACAGACATAAACATACATGTTTTTATAAACCTTTTATCAATATGTCACAGTCTTGAGTGCATATCAAGGCAGCTTTTCATCTCAGCTTGAAGTCACTATTGTTATGTTTCATGCACGTTACCCTCGGTGTTGGTAGTTTGTATGTTTCATGCATAGCCCCCACATTTAATTAGCCACAATCTGTTCATATCTGAAGCTGGCACTTCTTATGTAGCATCCTTTTTTGTCACATTGGATGTAGGAGGGAGCTCAGCATATTTCTTTAAGAATGCAATGGACTGAAACAGAGATATGATAATGAAAATGCAGTTTGGTTAAAAAAGGACAAACTATCCTTATTTAAGGATTAGTCCCCTAATTTGGAAGGTTTTCTGCTTACCATTTTGAATCCTGAGAAATTTGCATAGTTTTATGTCAATAAATCACAAATTAATTAAAAAGAAAAAAAATCAGTTTTGATTTAGAAAAAACTATCAGATGTAGCAAATAATGTAATATAAAATAAAACCAGAAAAATAATGTTAAAAAATGAAGATAAATCAGCTGGCTGCTGTGGTGGAAAGTAAAGTACATTCACTTGGTTACTGTACTTAAGTACCTTTATTGAGTATCTTTACTTTACTTGAGTAATTTTTTGGTGGATTTACTTATAAGTTTCACTCCACTACATTTCAAAATCAAATGTTGTACTTTATAGTCCACTACATTTCAGGGAAACTGCTAGTTCCTTGTTCCTGCTGGCTGAGCTTAGATTTGCAATCTGCTTTTGTTGTTTTTCTCTCTAAAAATGCTATTTCAACATGGAAAATAGCATTAGGGCTAGATTTGCAAAACACTGTTTCAGAAATGTGCATGAAATTCCACAAATGTTAGAAATTCAGGGCAGATATTATTAGTAGTTTATAATTTTATCAAGGTGTTAGCTGATGCCATGTGGCCAAAGAAGGATGAGCTCTGAAATTAGAGTTGCGGTTTCTAATAGATTCAACCTTAAACCTCTGTTGTGTAGTGAAAGTGTGAGGAGAATCAAGACTCTCCGGTTTTCTTTTTGTTTTATTCTGAAATAAGAATTAATAATCAGTATATGAGTTGGTTTCAGGAAGTTCTTTAAAAATAAACTGAGAATTATACAGAAAAATACTGATATTAGATTATGTATATTGCACTATTGAATATCAGTGTACTTTTGCATACTTAAGTATTTTCAAAAGTGAGTCCTTCAACACTTTAACTTTAGTAGATTGACTGAGTAACTTTTACTTGTAGTTGAGTAAGATTTGACTATGAGTTGCAATACTTTTACTTCAATACTTCTGTTGAATACTTCGTCCACCACTGACTGACTGTAAAGATACTGCATAATATCCCTCAGTGGTTATTTGGATTCTTAATGACTTTATTATGTTGTAGTTATACATATTTGCCTTCATACTGCCTGTTTTATGCAGCCTGCTCTGCTCTTGCAGGGTTGCATACAGTAGTGCTGCAGTGTACCTGCCACTTTTGCATAAATCATACAACTTGCCTGCAGGCAAATAACATAACTTAAAATGAAGACATTGTGCAGAGATGACCTTTGGTCTAGATCATTTAGAATGATTAAAACAAATAAAAACAAATAATGGATTCTGGTTCTATTATTCTTTGCTTTAGACTTAGCATTTTTCAGGTGACTAAAAACATGCTCACTTAGCTTATGAAGACGTGTGTTTCTGTTCAGCTATTGAAACAGTCATTGCAAACAACAAAATCTTCTAAAACATTCCCTACCACATTAAAGGGTTTACACTACCTCACATTTTGGCAATTTTTTAAATTTAAAACATTTATACTATTCTATCATAATAATAATATTATGTATCCAATAGCTTTTCTTCAACCCTTAAAAATTCAGCCACGGTGCATCTAATTTTCTCAGCTCCTCCTTAAGCTGGTTCTGCGACTGAAGTCCTACTGTGTTACATCTAGCCATCTGAACTTTATTTGTTTGCATAAAATAAGGGTAAAAATATAAATGTACACTGGACATGTGTAAGTTTAAGTTAAACATTGATTTTTGCCAATGTATAGAACAGAATACAATAGACACCATCCTGGAGAGAAATATCAGCTGTGCTGCTGCCATCAACACCTTTGTTTATAGATGTTGGAGATCCGTCTGTTTTCCAGTGTAGTCCTTTTTCTCTGACTGCGATTGGCTGGATGTGCTCTCTCTATCCTCTGACATGGGAGTTGGCTTGGAGCTCGTCTGCCTGGCTGTGTTTCCTGGACGGGGCCTTTTACAGTTGTTTTTTGTATCTCTGCTTCTGTCTCCTTGAACCCCAGTCGGCCTCGGGAGATGGCCGCTCACACTGAGCCTGGTTTTGCTGGAGGTTTCTTCCTGTTAAGGGGAAGTTTTTCCTCTCCACTGTCGCTAAATGCATGCTTAGTGTGAGGGATTTCCTTCAAGTCAATGAGTCGATGCAATCAACTGGTTTTCCTTGGATAGAAAACTGAATTAATTTGACTGTATGATCTGGTGAACTGTAAAGTGCCTTGAGATGACATGTGTTTTAAATTGGTGCTATAGAAATAAGCTGAATTTTAATAGAATAGAATAGAACACAGAATAGAATAGAATCAAATAGAATAGATAGAAATATGCCCTTTGTCCCACACTAGAGGGAATCAGAATCAGAAATACTTTAATAATCCCAGAGGGAAATTACTTTTGTTACACACAGTTTTATATAATATATACAGTTTTATATAATATATACACACATCTAACTATACAATATAATAAAGACAAAAAATAAGAATAAAAAGAGATAAAATATATATACACATACAAACAATGTAGTATTGTAAGGTCTTACCATCACAGCCATATTATAGAAAAATCAGGAAATTAAGACAAAGTTAGAACTAGACTGTAGTTAAAAATTACATTTTATAAAAAAAAAACTTTTGCAGTTAATATCTGCAAAAACACTTTTTACGCCTGACCAGAGAGAGTTGTTTTGTCTTTCCCGGTCCCAATTAAAGAATACTAGAACCCCTCTTTAGTTTCTATTTGGTTTCTTTTGGCTATATTAATAGGAAGGTTGACCATACAAAACTTTACAAATAAAGGCTTCATGGTAGAGTGGCCAGACTAATTAGTCAAAGGCACTTTGTTGCTTTCTGACATTTTACCGAAAAGCATTTTAGTGATTTATGGATTTTTGAATATGAGAGGCTATATTCATTGATGGGGTAAAACTAAAATACAGCATTTTTTTTTTTTTTTTTTTTTTTGCTTCCTGTTTGTAATAAAAAAGAAAAAAAATCTCAGTTTTGGGCTTGGTAAATCCAGCCAAACCAGTCCTAACCTACATAAAGGCTATAAATTTGAATGTTGGCCAAAGCAAATCCCTAAAGAAAACCCTATGTAAAGAAATATATTTATTTTATTTATGTTATTGCTTCTGCTAGATACACTCTATATGTGTGGCATACACCATTGTGCTGACTGATAGTGTTTAATCTGAGCAGAGGTGCACAGACTGGCTGTCTTTAATTTCAATACTATATTAAATAAAACATTTATTCACATCCGGTTTTATTCAATCCACATTGAGCAATAGCTCAGTGCAGGTTCTGCCCAAACATACCTGTCATGACAGGTACAAACATCCACAGTGGAAGTGGATTAGTGAAACTGATAAGAATGCTTGGTGGGATTAGGGGAGTGTTGGCCTAGAGGGTTAGAGCAGTGTGCTTATGCTCTGAGAAGGTTGCAGGTACCCAGTTTGATGCCTACAGCCTGCACTCTGGGTTCCTGAGCAAGACCCTTAACCCCTGATTGCTCCCCGGGCGCCACACAATGGCAGCCCACTGCTTCCCAAAAGGATGAGTCCAAATGCAGGGAACGGATTTCCCCACTATGGGACAATGAAGGGATTTACATTTACATGTTCGCACTGCATGGTCTGCTCAAGTCTGTGTCTGAATTTCTCTCTTTTCACAAAAGAGTAACCAACAATTTAATTACTAGTACTCTATGTTATAATAAGTGTAACCACATTTTGTATCCACTACAGCTAAGTACAATATGCTTATATCATATTAGAGAACAAGGAAATCTTAGAGCCTGAAGGGACCCGGCTGTTCTTTGTGGCATCAAGGCAGGACTTGGGTCAAGTTTTGGCTTGAAATTATCCCAACCGTGAAACACGGTCCAGCAACCATCTGTGAAATCCCTTCAGCCAGATCCTAGTCTAACTGCAGTTTATCTTTCTTTGGAAGGACCTAAGCATCTCTGTGTACAGATACACTCCATCGAATATGACTTAGCCAGGGAGGAACTCCAGAGAAGTAGCAGCCGATGCCCTTTTTTGGCCCTGATACCCGATACCTGGCTGTGCAGTATCGGCTGATACCGATACCATCTGTTTGAAATTGATATGTGTGTATATATGAAGAACTGCATACTACTTGTATGTAAAATAATTGCAATCATGGCTTTGTCAAGCTGCTGCCTACCTTTGTGAAGCAGCAAAAAGACTAATACAAAGTGAATCCAGTAGAACTTTTTATTGCCAAACATGTGCAAAATATTTAAAAAGTAGGTTTAAGAAATTTGCCAAGAAGTCAGAAAATACTATATAAAGAAATTCCTGAAAAGAAATTTCAAAGAAAAAAAAATACCAAAACAAACAACCTGTATTTGATTTACTGTAAATTACATAAATAGGCACAGTATGTAGTTTAGAGAGAGAGAGAAACAAAACCAAGAGAGAGAGTGGCACTGTATTAAAACAGCTGCACAAAACAGGATTCATGGTAAGACTTTATTTTCTCTGCATGATGTCAGAAAAGAAAAAAAAAATACCCGCGGACACACTATTACTGTCAAATAGTTTCCTTTTATAACCCCATAAT